GAACACGACGGGCTTATTCACGCGGTCGCTAGATGGCCAATATAAGATGTCTGGCAGGGAAGGGCAGTTCAGCGCGATTAGGCCAGCAGGGGAAGGCAGTTAGGGGCAAACAGGGCTGCAGGGGAGGGCAGTTAGGGGGCGACCACGCCGGCAGTGGAGGGCAGTTGGGGGCAGCCGGGCTGGCAGGGGAAGGCAGTTAGGGGTGACTGGGCCTGCAGGGGAGGGCATTTGGGGGGGACTGGGCCTGCAGGGGAGGGCAGTTGGGGGCAACTGGGCCGGCAGGGGAGGGCAGTTGGGGGAAACTGGGCTGTCAGGGGAGCAGTTTGGCGTTGATCAGGCTGGCAGGGGAGTGGTTAGGGAGTGATCAGGCTGACAGGCAGAAGCGGTTAGGGGCAATCAGGCAGGCAGGTAGGTGAACGGTTGGGAGCCAGCAGTCCTGGATTGTGAGAGGGATGTCCAACTGCCGGTTTAGGCTCGATCCCTGTGGGGGATCACAAAATACCACGTGCGGGTGCGCACGTACAGTGCGATTGAAACTTCGTGGCCCATGCGCAGAAGTCGGTATTTTGTGGAAGAGCCACACTGAAGGGGCCAAAGAGCCGCATGTGGCTCGCGAGCCGCAGTTTGCCGACCACTGTCCTGAGGGGTCCCAGATTGGAGAGGGTGCAGGCTGGACTGAGGGACACCCCCCCCTCCAGTGCACGAATTTCGTGCAGTGGGCCTCTAGTTTATAATAATAAAAGCATAATGTGCAAATCGATTGAACGACCAAACAGCAAAATGACTGGATGACCTTCTGGATGATCACGCTATGACATGCACTGGCGCCAGGCCAGCCAAGGCGGGTGCAATGTGATTGGTCAGGGGGCCCCGCCATCGCCCCATGATTTTCCCACAGAGGGAGGCCTAGGCCACCCAGCCGGCGGCCACAGAGGGAGGCCCAGGCTCCCGGCTGGCAGTGCTGCTGTGGGTGCTGTGGCGGGTGGGCGGGGCCTCCCTCTGTGGGCGATTGATCTGGGGGCCCTGTGATCGATTGCCCCACAGAGGGAGGCCTAGGCCACTGGCCAGCGACACTGTGGAGGGTGTGCGGGGCCGGCCAGCAATCACCCTGCAGAGAGAGACCCAGGCCGGCCAAGCGATTGCAGCCCATGCCTGTTGACCACGGAGGGAGGCGACTGGTGGAGGGGGAGGGGGGGCAGTGCCGCATAGATGGCAAGCAGTGGCAGCGGCGGGGGTGGGGCCAGCTGCCGGAAGCCAGGGGAAGGAAAACCCCTATAGGCCCTGATCACTGCCAGGCATAGGGACCCTACCTGAGGGGTCCTGGATTGTGAGAGGGTGCAGGCCAGGCTGAGGGACACCCATGACCCCCCCCAACCCCCAGTGCATGGATTTCGTGCACCGGGCCTCTAGTGTACTGTGTTATCTATCATTCATGGAATTACAGTATGCCTCTAATTTTTAAGGTGTGCAAAAATGCTTGTGGCCAATAAGTCTTCCAGTGTTACAGTATGAGAAATCTACCATTCCCTTCCATTCCCTATTTACATAACTATTAGCATGTGTGTATATGCATACACATGCAACCACATACACATCCATTTCTTTAATAGCTATGCAGATGGGTGTGGCAGTAATTGAGGTGATATTGGCATTTCTGTTGTAATAAAATCTATTTTATTTTGTTTATTTGTCTTTTGACCATTTTTAAAAATATATATTTTTTTGATTTCAGAGAGGAAAGGAGGGAGAGAGAGAGAAACATCAATGATAAGAGAGAATCATTGATTGGCTGCCTCCTGCATGCCCCACACTGGGGATCAAGGCATATGCCCTGACTGGGAATTGAACCAAGCCCTCCTGATTCATAGGTTGATGCTCATCCACTGAGCTATGCTGGCCAGGGCATTCTTTAAAAAAAAAAGTGTATATACATATATGTGTGTGTGTATGTATATATATATGTATATATGGGTATATATGTGTATATATATGTATATCATATATATGGCAGCCTTTATTCTAGTGCCCCTCTCTCTCAAGTCATGACAACCATTCTATTGATTTTTGATTTTCAAATTTTGTCAGCTACTGGTTTAGACCTTGATGGTTTGTCCAACTACTTATACATTATGTTTTGATAGAAATCACAGTCCCCAGTTTTGTGAATGATGCTTGAAAGAATTGCTAGTCAAGGGATACTTCTTAGATATATACCAGGGGTGGGGAATGTCCGGCCCATGAAATCATCTGGTCTGGCTCTGCCAAGGCATTAGGGATGAGTTAATTAAACGTTTGACCAAATATAGCAGGCTAATTTTTAAGTTGATAGTTTTGTATAGCCCGAGAATGATATTATAAATATTCAAATGGTCCTTGGCAGAAAAAAGGTTCCCCACCATGATATATGTATAGGAAGTACACTCAAAAGGAAATAAATATAAGCAGGTGTGTAATTTATGTGTGTGTGTGTGTGTGTGTGTGTGTAGATGAAAAAAAAATGCTTCTCTGCCTTATTTGAAAACTTTAGAAGCAACCTGACAGGTATAAATATTTGTGTGTAGTAAAAATGTACACAGACAAAAGAAGAGCAACATGATTGTGTATTTCAATACTGTGTAAAAACATTCTTGCCCACATTCTTGCCACCCAATCAAATGTTTTAGTAGTTGGGAATCTTTTTTCTGTGATTGTGTAATTATTCAGCTTATTGAACTAATATTTATTGAACACCTGCTATATGCTAGGCACTGTTATAGATTCTGGGAATGCAGCAGTGAACAAAACAGAATAAAAATGTCTTATCAGCTAAAATTTAAAGGTCATGAAGGGGGAGAGAGGAAAATAGATGCTAAACCAAATAAATATGTGGGTATGTTAGATGATAAGTGCTACAAAAGTAGAGAGGATGTTAGATAGAATTTGTCAGTGTTGCTATAGCCATCATATTGATAATATTACTTGCATGTATTTTTTGAATTGATAAACTTGATTTTCTAAATAATCCTTTTCTGCTAAATGCTTAGGTTAAAATTTTCCACCAGTAAGGCATGGTTGTTTAAAAAACATTAATTCAGGGACTGTTCCATCCAAATATAAAATCAAAGTACATGTGTGTTTGAATGGGGACAGTGATAATATTACAAAATATAGAATTGTTATTGCTTGCATTTTACATTTTAAGTGAAACTTACGTGACTGTCGCCCTTCCTGACAAACTTCTTAGACATGTGTTATTTTCACAGATGGTCAGTGTCATGACCACAACCTAGTAAGAGTTTTTCAGCCAAGAATTTTAAAATTAGTTTTAAGAACCTGAAGAAAAATATTTTTAAAAACTGGCTTTATTTTTACTTTAAAAAATATTTTTATTGATTTCATAGAGTAAGGGACAGGGAGAGAGAGACAGAAACATTAATGATGAGAGAGAACCATCTTGCACGCCCCCATTGGGGATCAAGCCTGCAACCCTGGCATGTTTGACATGATAAACACAAGGTCTACTTCTGTTAGTTGAAAACTCACTTGCATAACAGAAACCAACACCAGCTTAGAGGAGAAAAACACATGAGAAATGGAATTTCTTTTTATTTAGTTCTATTAGTATTGCCAAAGTTAATTGTTCATTTTGGGATGTCAAGGCAGAAGAAACTCACTCCTTTGTTTTCCCATTCGTTCAAGTCAAAAGTATGACATTATTTTTTATTTATTTATTTTTTAAAATATATTTTATTGATTTTTTTACAGAGAGGAAGGGAGAGGGATAGAGAGTTAGAAACATTGATGAGAGAGAAACATCAATCAGCTGCCTCCTGCACATCCCCTAACTGGGGATGTGCCCGCAACCAAGGTACATGCCCTTGACCGGAATCGAACCCGGGACCCTTCAGTCCGCAGGCCGATGCTCTATCCACTGAGCCAAACCGGTTAGGGCAAAAGTATGACATTATTATCAGGTTAGATTGCTTCTCTCTTTTTTTAAAAGAAAAATATTTTTATTGATTTCAGAAAGAAAAGGAGAGGGAGAGAGCGAGCGAGCGAGATAATCATTGATCGACTGCCTCCTTCTGTGCATTGCGCCCGCAATCTGGGCATGTGCCCTTGACCAAAATCGAACCCGGAACCCTTCAGTTCGCAGGCTGACGCTCTATCCGCTGAGCCAAACCAGCTAGGGTTAAATTGCTTCTCTTTGCTCACTAGTACTTGACTGGTATTGGCCAGTGTATTTTGACTTATAGTTGACACTAGTTTGGAAATACAGGTACAGTCATGCAAGAGACAATATGGTGAGAATTAAAAAAAATTAGAGAATTGGGGCCAGTGAGTAATAGATGAGGAAAACATCCTCCAGCAATTGAGGAGTTGAGTTCCTTCTCCACTCCTCTTTTCTACTTAATAAGTAAAATGCAAAGCCTGAGGGCATTTGGCCTCTAGTAGAGGAAGTGAAGAGGTTTTGAATTGTTACAGAAAAAAGGTGATGTGGGTGGAATAATGTGAACCTGGCACAGTATTTGAGCTTTGCTTTTGCTTCATTAAAAACACCTGTCATTATGTTTTATAGATTATAATAACGAAGATGAATTTGGAAGAAAGTTGAGGTTCCTCTTGCAACAGCTTCCACCTGTTAATTACAGCTTGTTAAAGTTTCTGTGTAGATTTTTAGCCAATGTAGCATCACATCATGAAGAAATTTGGTCTGCAAACTCTTTGGCTGCTGTCTTTGGTCCAGATGTCTTCCAGTAAGTTTTTTCATAATTTTTGTTTAATTAAAAAAAAACCTCGAGTTTGTGGAATAGAATCATTATGCTGTCTCCCAAGGATCATAGGTTGCTTGATGAACCATTATTTTTTATACTAGAGCTGCTTAATCTTCCTAGCATTTTTTTGGACAGGGTACAAATTAGGTAGGGTTTACAGATGGGAAAACTGAGGCACAGAATGATGACATTGCTCAAGATTATGAAATGACTCATTGGTTGTCTTCTGACTTTACCTGTGATTGATTTAAGAACACTCAATTCAATTTGGACTTTTATTCTTAGCATTTACACAGATGTGGAAGATCTGAAAGAGCAAGAAATAGTGAGCAGGATAATGGCTGGACTTCTGGAAAATTACTATGAGTTTTTTGAAAATGAAGAGGAAGACTTTTCATCTAATGATTTGAGTTCAATTACTGAACAGGTGAGAATATTTTACATATTCTACTTGGAGGAAGAATTTTTTAAAAAAGAATTGCTCTCAAGGGCTTGGTACAAACTTTGGTGGAATTTTTAGTACTAAATTGGAAGACATGCTCTTGGTTATTATATGGAATCATCTATATCTAAGTAATAGCTGAATGTGATATTTTTTTTAAACAACTTGTCCTCAATTTGGATAATATGGGAAAGGCATTGAAACCAGAATATATGGTAGAGATTTTGTATGTTTATTTCTTCTTTGTGTTTTTTCTTCTGTTAACTTAAGCTTTGTGTATTTTGTAAGAATAGTGGTTGTGTGTGTGTGTGTGTGTGTGTGTGTGTGTGTGTTGTTGAAGAATTGCTAGCATAGAGGAATGTAGGCAGAGGGTGAGAAGTAGAAGGTAGAGGGAAAGATTCAATACAAAGTTCATGCAAACTCTTAAGCAAATAAAATTTTTCTTGGTTAAAGTAGCAACTCAGTATAGCACTGCAATCATTGTCATTAATGAGAAGCATTAGAGTAAGTTTAGGTTGCAAGTAGTTTTTTTTTTTTAATATATTTTATTGATTTTTTACAGAGAGGAAGGGAGAGAGATAGAGAGTTAGAAACATCGATGAGAGAGAAACATCGATCAGCTGCCTCCTGCACATCTCCCACTGGGGATGTGCCCGCAACCCAGGTACATGCCCTTGACCGGAATCGAACCTGGGACCCTTGAGTCCGCAGGCCAACGCTCTATCCACTGAGCCAAACCGGTTTCGGCTGCAGGTAGTTTTTTAACTCTTGTTTGTAACTCTTGAAGCAAGTTTGTCTAGTGCTCTCTTCTTTTTGAGTTTCACCCTATAAATGCAACTATTTGGCTGTTAGAATCTTTTAACGTAGTAGATATTTTTAGTAATAGTATGAGAGAGAGGACTGGATATGATGAATAGGGTGTGTTTGAAAAATGGCCCAGAGTCAGTAGACATGGGGTCCTTAAATGAATGTGAATCCAGTAGAATGGTTTGAAGATGTAGGTGATAATTATGTTTCTGTATACATTTGAGAAGGCAGGTAGCAGCATTCTCCACAAGCTGGAGTGTGGAGAGCAGGCATTACACAAGACCCTAGAGAGGGGAATTATAGCAGTCAAAGAAAGAAGAGATGGAGGTATGGATGAGAGTTTTCTTTAAGTGGAGTTGAGGTAGCTGCATATATATAGGGCAGGTTCAGAATAACTTATGAACAGAATAGACTGTTGATAAGTGGAAGGTCAAATTGACAAGGAGAGAATCAGAAGAACTTTTGAAGATAAATGTGGGGTGAGAGAGAGCATTTTTATTTAAGTTTTTAATGTTTACTCTTACCCAAACTAATATAATCAATTCTTTTTTTTAAGTCTCTTTTTATTTATTTATTTCAGGGTGTGTGTGTGTGTGTGTGTGTGTGTGTGTGAACCCCTACCCAAGGATATTTTCCCATTGATTTTTTGGTCCTAGGAAATGAAGTAAAAAATGAGTTGTGTTTAAAATTTTCTTGGAATAGTACATCTTAGGTAATGTTAATGAACAGTTTCATGAAATTTTCTTTTCTTTTTTGTTCTTTTCTAGTTTCATAAAATTTTAATTCTCTGTTTCTTTTTATATAGGTTAATGAACTTTCTGAGGAAGAAGAGGAAGATGAAAAGCTGGAACATATAGAAGAACTTCCAGAAGAAGGAGCAGAAAAATCAAATGACATGCCAGAGGTGGTACAATTAAGGATGACTGAAAACATCCTGGAAGCAAATAGTGTTACAGCATCAACAAGGTAGTATTTCATTTGAAAGAACTTTAGCTTTTGAGCATTTTATTCTAGAAGTAGATTCACTCAACCACTAAATCAAACAAGAAAAACTTAAAGTAATCTTGCTAAGAAAATTTTAGTTATAACATAGATACCTTTCTTTTTAAATACAATCTCTTACATATATATATCTTTTTAAAAACACAAATTTATTTATTTTTGTTAATCCTCACCTGAGGATTTTTTTTTCCATTGATTTTTTTTTTTTTAGAGCGATTGGAAGGGACGGGGAGAGACAGAGAGAGAGAGAAACATCGATATGAGAAAGGCATCCATAGGTTGCTTCCTGCACATGCCCCAACCAGGGCCGGGGATTGAGCCTGTAACCAAGGTACATGCCCTTGACCGGAATCAAACCCAGAATCCTTCAGTCTGAGAGCTGACACTAACCACTTAGCAAAAAGTGGCTAGGTTTTGCCTTTTCTGTTTGTTGCTTGAGAACATCCTCTGAGTAATAGCAAATACTGTTACTCTGGCAAGGCGTATAGGGCTAGTATTGAGACCATCATACTATCCTACATGGGGTACTTTTATTGGGCAGTAGTCAACTTTTCCTCCTTAAGATTTGGAATAAGTCAGTGTTTCTCCAAGTGAGTATCAGATGAAGTAGCTGGCATCATCCCCCCCCCCCCCCCACACACACACACAGGAGGGAGAATGTTTTTAAGGGTCTTTTTTGTGTGAAAAAGTAATTTCTTTAGAAAATTAGTATCATACTCTGCTAGAGATGAACATAAAACTAACTACATGCTCTTCTGGTTGTTTCAAGGTAGTACAAATGTGGCAGTTTTCAGCATATTTTATAGTCATTTAGTATTTTAAAGTTTTATAGCTAATTTCTTTCTTTGATTACAGTGCCCATATATCTCCCACCAGCATCTTACCAGCCTCTGCAGAGTAAGTAGTATACTTACAGAAGACAATTTAAAAGTTAAAAAAAAAATATTGCTGAATTGTAGAAATGAAAATCATGTATTTATTGTGCTTCCTTTAGAGGAAGATTGTACATAACACAGTGAAACTAGTTAGTGGTTTATATACTGTAGTAGAAACAAATGAAGAAGGCACTAAGATTGAAAACTGTTAGAGCTTTTTTATTATTTTCTTGAAGAAGTAGACTTTGGCCCTAGCCAGGTAAGCTCAGTTGGTTAGAGCATCATCCGATACGCCAAGGTTGCAGGTTCAATCCCCACTCAGAGAACATACAAGAATCAGCCAATGAATGCATAAATAAGTGGAACAACAAATCAGTGTTTAAAATAAAAAGAAAAAAAAAGAAAAAGACTTCACGTAAAAAATAGGAACAATACCCTTACATTTTTTTTCTTTTATTTAACTGAGCATGGTAAATTATTTTGCTTTATAAACATAGTTTTGAAAAGTCTATTTAAATGACTATATAGTAGTGAGGATGATTGACACTGGTCCTTCCCACCTCTGTAGTAATAGTGACATTATAATTGATTTGTATAATATCTATTTGGGCAGATTTCATTATAAAATTTGATCCTGTGTTGTGTATTCCTTCTATGTATTTCTTTTTACACTCTAGCTTACTCATTTAAAATTCATGATAATTTGTTTTACTGGTCATAGTTTTTAACATTTATGTTTATGTAGTGAAATATGCAGTTAGGATGACTGTGTCTCACTAAAATGTGTTCTGTTTTGTAGCATTTTAGACAGAACAATTAGGACAACTGTGGAACAGCACCTTTTTGATCTGCAGAGCAGCATAGATCAGGATCTTAATTTACAACAGCAAAGTCTGGTGTGTAATAATGAAGCAGGAAGTATTAATTGTGATGGGGAAGGATCTAATAACCAGTAAGAAACTTTTAAAAACATTTTACTGCTATTATGAGTTATAAAATTGTTTTGTTATCTTTAAAAAACTTTATTTTTATTTAGATAATGGGGTCTCATCTTAGAGATTTCTGGAACTTTGTGTGAGAAGTGACTTTGTATGTATTTGTATGTAAATTATCTATACTAGTATATATAAAAACCTAAGCGATCGTTATGATGGAATGACCGATTGCTATGACGTGCACTGACCACCAGGGGGCAGATGCTCAAAGCAGGAGCTGCCCCCAGCCCGCAGGCCCTGATTGCCGGATAGGGCCTGCTGCACGACCTCCTGGTTTCTCCCCCCAAGCCAGTAGGCTCTGATTGCCCGATCAGGGCTGGGCCCCGGGCTGCGACAGGGAACTGGGGGTGGGTGGCGGCGACCAACCTCCTGTGGCGCCTGGGCGGGGGGCTGCGACCTCTCACCAGCTACCTGGGGGCAGAGGTGACAGGGACGGAGGTGTGGTGAGAATGCGGGGTGTCTGCTGAGCTCACTCTCACTCCCCCGCTACCCTCCCCCAGGATGCCAGGGCTCGCGCACCGGGGAAGCCTTTGCTCAGGTGCCGGGTACCTGCGTGTAGCCTGCCCCGCACCCATGCAGCCTCTTCTGGGTGAGCCGGGCCACAGCTGCTAGGACCACAGCTGCCAGGACCACGGGCTCCCCGTGGGTTTGCGCAGGAGCTGATCTGCGAGGCCGGGTGGGAGAGAGTGCACTGCCCGCCTGGCTTCCGTGCGGCGCCGCTGGGCGGCCCAGAGGCCCACACTGCACCCCAGCCCGTGGTGTCCAACCATGCTCACTGCATCTCTGCGTGGGGACTCGGGCGCTGTGATTCAGGAGGAGGGAGTGCTTGGGGGTCCAGGTGCTGCCCAGGGCCCAGAGGTTAGCTGGGACCTGCCCTTCCACGCCAGATGCTCACGCTTTGATCGCCAACCAGGCCTAGGGACCGCATGTGTGCACGAATTTTGTGCACCAGGTCTCTAGTATTATATATACGTATGTACATAGAAAAATCTCTGAAATTGTTTATTAAGTCCAACACAGCCAGGTTTTCCTCCCAGAACATCAGATAAAGTAGTTAGCTTACCTTTATAGACTGTTATATGAAAAATACTTTTAAAAGTTAGACTTCTGTGCAACAGGGTCACACCAGGAGAAACAAGCAGAGATCTAGACAGATAGGTTACAGGGACAGGAGAATATCACTCCTGGTGCATGTGATCATTGAATGACATGGTGAGCAGAATCATCTTTTCCTGTTTAAATTGTTATCCCCTGCCACTAGCCTCCTTTCTCCCTACATGGTTGTTTTGTTTTGCTTTTTCCTTAAGAGTAGCCATTGATAGTTGAATTTACATAAGTTTAAAGTACCTCTGTGTACTGTTATGTGATGTAACTCCATTCTTTAATATGACTTGTTACCTTTAAATGAATGAATGTCCATCAATCCACTCTCTCTTTATCCTGTCAAGTTTCATTAAATGCACTGTTTATTTTTGTCTCTCCATGGGATGTTGTAAGGAATCTACCTTGGTTGGCGGCTGCCCAGCTGCCCAGGGCTGGCCCGAGGTGCAGGCAAGCCTTGGATGGTGGCTGCCCAGCCTCCCAGGGCCAGCCCAAAGTGCAGGCAAACCTCGGATGGCAGCTGCCCAGCTGCCCAGGGCCGCCCGAGGTTCAGGTAACCAGGGCTGGCTGAGGCTTGCACTGTTGGCAGTGGCAGCAGCAGAGGTGTGATGGGCGTTGCCTTCCCCTGATCACTGGGTTGCCTCTCGCCAGTGAGGGCTCCCGGACTGTGAGAAGGGGCAGGCCGGGCTGAGGGACTCCCCCGCCAGTGCATGAATTTTCATGTACTGGGCCTCTAGTATTGTATAACTGCAGGTGTGTCATGTAGCTTGCATGAATGGCATCACCAGCCTGTGCAGCTCTAAGTATTGGCCCTGGTTTGTCTCCTTTTAAGGCATGATTAGAACTGATAGAACTGCCCTAGCCATTTGGGTTGAGTGGATAGAGCGTTGGCCTGCAGACTAAAGGGTCCTGGGTTCGATTCCAGTAAAGGGTACGGTAAAGGTTGCAGGCTTTTCTCTGGCCTGGGCCCTGCCCGGGGCTTGTGCAGGAGGCAACCAATCGATGTGTTTCTCTCTGTCTTACTTTCTCTCTTCCAGACTCCCTAAAAATCAATGGAAAAATATTCTCTGGTGAGGATTAAGGAAAAAAACAAAAAAATTGATAGAACTGGATCTATAGGGAGTATTTGGGCTGAATATGAAGGGAAAAAGCAGTATTTAAAAGTTGGAAAAAGTGGGAAAATGTTTCAAAAGATGTAATATAAGCAGGTTCCTTAGAGTTTGTCCTTAGCTTGGCTAGAGATGTTGAAAACCTATGGCCATGCTTAGACAATATTCTTATTTCTACAACTGGGGACAGTATTCTTATTTTTACCACTCATGTTCTCTCAGTAGTGGTATTGTCTTTGTAAACAAAAACCTGCAGAGTTTTGTATATTCTAAATTATGTAAGATGGGAAATCTGCAGTAGGAAGCTATTCCTGTTGTACTTGATAAAGTGTTGGACACTACGGTGTCTAGTGCTAGATTTGTATTTTATTATTATTTTTATTTTTAAAAAATATATCTTTATTGATTTCAGAGAGGAAGGGAGAGGTGGGGAGAGAGGGAGAGAGAGAGAGAGAGAAAGAAAGAAACGTCAATGATGAGAATCATTGATTGACTGCCTCCTGCATATCCCCTACTGGGGATCAAGCCCGCAACCTGGGCATATGCCCTTGGCTGGAATCAAACCTGGGACCCTTCAATCTGCAGGCCGATGCTCTATCCACTGAGCTAAACTGGCTAGGGCTAAATTTGTATTTTAATTAAACAAATAGGTCATTATTATGATTGAGAGTGGATATTTTTAAGGAAAATTGTTATTTTAGTACATAAATGAATTTTAAAGCCATTCATCTTGTTTTTGTTTGTTTTTTTAAATCCTCATCTGAGGACATTTTCATTGATTTTTAGAGAGAGGGGAAAGGAGGTAGAGAGAAAGGGAGAGAAACATTGATTCATTGCTTCTGAGCCTGGGGATAGGAACTGCAACCTAGGTATGTGCCCTGACCAGGAATTGAATCTGTGACCTTTTGGTGCATGAAACAACGCTCCTACCAAATGAGCCACACCTGCCAGGGCACCATTCATTTTTCAAAAGGGTTAACAAACAAGGTAGATTCCTTACAACATCCCATGGAGAGACAAAAATAAACTTAGTGCATTTAATGAAACTTGGCAGGATAAAGAGAGAGTGGATTTTTATGAAAAGGGTATATTTTCTTTAATAAGTAAAAGTTTCAGATCATTGTTTATTTCAAAGGCATTACATATTCAACATTTGACCTGATCTGATTTTTTAATCGTCATTTCTAGGGTTGATATTGCTGATGATGATATTAATGCCAGTGAAAGAAGCAGAGACTGCTCAGAACCTGTGGCCAGCACTAATTTAGACAATGAAGTTATGCAGCAAGATTTTGTATTTGATGATGAAGAAAATAACCAGGTAAGAAATGCAAAGACTTAAAAAAAATCTGTTAGGTGTGCTAAACATATAATTCTGATTGTTTTATGTATTCCTTTGACTGCAGAAGCCATAGTTCACTATCTTTTCTAACACACGTATATATCTTGATTCAAGGAACACACATTTTCTTAGTAGTGGTCAGGAACCATTATTGGGT